CTTGCACAGTCCGGGACAGGCCACGTTGATCGTCACATCGGGTGTAGTACTAGTAGTACTACTACCTTCAGCAGCAGCAGCATCGTTTCCTCCGGCATAATCCTTGACCAACCCCTGCATCACGTACATGGTCAACAGTTTGATGACCGCATACGAGGTCTCCATGTTGAAGAACTGCGGGAGTTGTGCCACGGTCGGTGCCTCGGGCGGATTCGCCATGACGGGCGGCCACGGACTGCTCTCGGCGCAGTTCGGCCTGGCCATTGACCGCGTGCTGGAGTACAAGATCGTGACGCCCGACGGACAGGTCCGGCACGCCAACGCGTGTCAGAATACAGATCTCTTCTGGGCGCTCCGTGGGGGCGGGGGCGGCACGTACGGGGTGGTGTTGGAGTCCACCAGCCGGGTCGAGCCGAGCCGGCCGTTGATCTTCGCGTCTCTGACCGTGCCCGCTAATACTAATACTGGCAATACCAATAACAATGGTGCGGCCGACGATGGCTTCGCGCGACTGCTCCTGAAGCACGCGGTGCGCTGGTCGCAGGAAGGTTGGGGCGGACCCAACGGCATGAACTTCATCTCCATGGCCAACCCGTTTCTGGATCTCGCCGCCGCGCGCCTCCCTGGCCGAGGCGATCGACTTCGTGAACAGCCAGCCCGGCGGGAGCGTGGTCTTGGGGTCCTATCCTATTTTCTTCCCCATCTACGAGAGGTACATTTCGGCGTCCGCGAACGATGAGGTCGGGCTGGACATATAGGTGATTAATATTATAAATGATAGATGTATATCCTCCCCAATCAACGGCAACCCTCGTCCCCTCCCGAGCGATGTCCCCCCTCCTTATCCTTAAAAGCAATCAATGCCTCCAAAAACTCCCCAACATCCTGGGCCCCACTCAGCGTGACCCCCCCCTGCTCCCTTGTCGGGACCATCCCCACCGATCCGAAAGAGGGGAACCCCTTTGACCCCCTCCTCTCTCCTCGCCCGCTCCGCCATCCTCTCAATTTCCTCCACTGCCTCCCCACCCTCCAGCCAACCCCGGACCCGCCCTGCATCCAGCGACCCGGCACTGGCATCCTCCACAATCCTGGCCAAAGTTCCCACATCTGTAAGATCGCCTTCCTCCTCGAAATGCACCCGGAAAAGCCCTTCCACCACCGCCGTCGTCAGAGCATCTGTATACGCGGTTCTCCCTCGCTCCGCATCATACCGCTCACACAGCAGAATAACCTGGTGCGCGCGCATGGTATTCCCAATCCGCCCGCCGAAGCGGAACTGGATCCCATCCGGTTTTCCCAGGCGTTGGAGGTGCGCCTGCGAGGCGAGGACTTTGTCGGCGCCGAGCTTTTGGGTCATTCGATCTGCAGGGGGACATGTTTTAGGTGGAGAAAATTAAGCAAAATGCCGCAGGAAGGGTTATGTACGTACCAATGTAGGGTATACTCTCCATCGGGGCGTCGCGGTCCAGGAAATATGGTCTCCAGGTGATGTGGACCTCATCCTGGCTGCCGCCAGGGTAGGTTTTTTGGTACAAGTTGATGGCTTTCGTGAGGCGGCGGTAGCCGATGTAACACTTTTCAAGTCAGTGATTGGCATTAGGAAGGGGAATGAAGGTGAGCGGGGGGGAAGAATGGAACGGGCGTCGTACCCAGGGGCAGACAGGGTCTGATGTGATGGTGATGGAGATGACGGTCATGGTTGAATTAATGTAGTGAAAATTTGTTTCTTTCCATCAGGATAGCTGGAAGGTGGGTTGGAGAGGAAGAAGGGGAAATATAAGGGGGAGATTTCAATCATAAGGTAAAAGAAAATGAAGTAGAGTTTCAATTCTTAGGGCCCTAGCTTACCTCATGTCACGCTGCAGCAGGTGAAGTAAAGCGGCTGTCGTAGGCAGATATGTTTTTGATTTTGGCTGCCTTCACTTTCAGTAGCCAGTCCTGGGCCTGAAGAAGATTGCGAGCCTGCATATCCTGACCCCCACTCGACCTCTCCATATCTGAAGGTCACCTGGCATCAAGATAAAAATTTGTGACTTATAGATCATGTTGCCTCCCTAAAGTCCCATCTTATTCTGCTGGTGGCATGGACATGAGAAATAGAAGACATGATTAGGATCCATGATAAGGTACCTTATGTCTACAAGATCATCCCCGGCCCCATGCCCACTATATCGGGGATCCGTCGCTATACCAGTACAAATCAACAGCTAATGCCGCACACCCCCATTCCCTAGAGAGGCTCCACCTTGTCCTCCTCAAAGTGTGTAAGTGTCACTACCATGGGGGACGAAACCGTGATCCTCGTAAACCTGGGATCTTCAGATACAACAAAAATGTCGAGGTTCATTAATCTCTAGCGAACTACAGATAAAGTGACTAAGATATCAGAGATTGGAGTTCAAGTCGAAATTTCGCTTTTGGCCGAGCATGGTCCAAGCTATAAGGTGAGGTTACCGATCCTGGAGGACGTGACTAACAATGTATGGTGCTTTTGCACAACTGATCCCAGCAAGCAAAGTTGCTGTTCTGACTTCGAGGGGACGCGGTGGCCACAGATGAAGTTAAGATGGGTGGTTATATTGGCAGTGCCATCGCTATTTACCGGCGAGAAACGCACTCTGGGAGGAATCTGAGGGAACTAGGGATATTCAAGTTACGACTTGTACAGTCTCCTTCCCGATAGATGTACTGATGAGAATAAAGGCCTTGGGCAGAATACCTTGAAGCCCCGGCGGTCATCAATTGGGAAAAACACACTGACAACCTAAGTGTTCCAAGTGAACCACACGGTAGAAGATGAGCGGAATCCACGTGATCTGTCAGTTCCACCCGAACGGTTCCACAGTATCTGCTCCACCCGTGCACAGACAGATCCATCTTCTAAGCTTTCTCCATATTATCTAGTCTTTACCTAGTGCAGCCTCCGCGTCTGGTCTCTCCTTGTCATCATCGAGATTGAAAATGGGCGCATACGATGAAGCCGACGACCCTCGGCGAGTCGAAATCATAGGACGGATTGCCGATTCTCTGAACGGTAGGCTGGTAGAGCCGGGCTTTTGGACCTTTCTTTGGTTGGCCAACATCGACAAACTCGAGGACTATGCAAATACTTTTACCACACAGCCGGAGATGTGCCAGATCGATATTTGTAGTGTTACAGGTTGGACGAAAACGCTCAAGACCTGTTAGTACATGAAATTCCCTTGTTGGAAAGCTATTGGTCTAACAGCTATCTTGCCAGGGACAAGCTGCGAGCAGGTTAAGGACAATGGTAGAAACGCAAGTCACGAGTGCTACTCCAAACTCGCCAAGTCAAAAAGTCTGCGCCGCGCCGGAGATTAAGGATATGGAATCTTCAGGAGCCTTGCCTCCCACAGGCAGAAGTCTGCCACCAGAGTCGAGAACTGAGGGCTCGTCAGAAACCCCGTCAACGCTCACCACGCCCGCCCCCCTTTCCACGCTCGCAGCCTCTGGAGTTAATCGTCGTGAGCCAATAAAATGCACCCGTTCGGTCGCCGCCGCTGATGCTGTGAGTTGAAGACCGCATATTGAGTCCCTGGTACATTGCTAACAGGCACAGTGTAAAAAAAGAGACAAAAACTACCATCTTATCACTCGAGGGGGTGATTGTGTTGAGGCGGCTCACATCTATCCATTTTACCTGGGGATCAAAGTTGGAACTAATAGCTATACCGTCCTTTGGAAGCGTCTATCCCTCTTTGGGCATCAGAAGATTTCCGAAACTGGGAAGATATTGCCCTGGGCAAGGAAGGAAGAGAAACTGTGGCTAATCTTATCTGTCTTGCTTCCACCGTACACGGTCTTTGGGCCAAGGGGAAGTTTGCGTTGAAGCCCTGCGAGCTGTCGGCCGACAAGACCAAACTCACCGTTCAATTCTATTGGTTACCGGACTCAGTATACGAGCTCAAGGATCTTCGAACCCGGCCTGCCAATCCAGAAAACGTTGACGGAACAACACGCCAGACGCGACTCTTCGACTGCGTCACAAATCATTGTATCTGTTCTGGCGACATCTTGACCTTCACTACCGACAACCCAGAGAAGTGGCCACTCCCCTCGGTTCACCTATTGCATATGCAATGGGTCCTGAATAGGCTGGTGGCTCTTGCAGGTGCCGCGGATGTCACCGATGAGGATCTCGACCCAGACGATTCGACGGGCTTGGCTCCACCGATTTCAGTGGATGACGAAATGGAAGTTGGCCAGCTAGAGGAGGCTGAAGAGGGGGTGGATAGCGAAGAAGGGGGCAAGGAAGAGCAGAAAGGACGAGTGGAGACGGCTGGGGCGTCGAGTGCAATTCCTCGCTTTGGCGAAAACTGCCCCTTAACACATGCGCAAGGGGAGCGACAGCATGATATGCCCGGGAGTAATCCACTGGAAGTGCGACTCGCCACCAGCATGTCCACTGAGGAGTAATTGTTCCCGGACGCGTGATAATCATGGAATACGGGGTTAGATGTCTACTGTATGAAGGAGGATCCGAATGGACTTCCCACGATTGGTATCTCGTGTAAAACGCGATCAATTCGAACCGGTCGCAGCTCAGAGCAGGTCTAATTAGGTTGCTTATTATTAGTCCCTGGATTGCTTATAATCGCCCATGATACATCCTGGCAGCCTAAGTGGCCACAGGGCCGTTCCCTAAACCTTGAGAACGGAGTCTTTTTTGGACGACATGTTGTAACCCTGACTTGCACTGTTGACAAAGATGGTGGGAAACATTAAGTATATGCTCGCCAATCTACGTCTGTTTAGAGAGGCTCAACCTTGAAGGAACCAGGTGTATATCTTC